GTATACCATTCGATAGAGCTCGTCGATTTCTACTTGTAACAGCAATATGACACTTGGAACATCTTCCTGGGCGAATCGGCGGTACAATTACGCGAATCGGACGCTAACTTCACCTACGTGATTATTTTTTTTTTATTATTGATTTTTCTGTAACTTTCTCTTGAATCACTAACTTCATTTGTCTACACTAGATTATTGTTTTTTGTTGATCTTCAATAAAAAAAACTATTCTAAGTGATAAGAGTACCAGCATATGAAGACCTTTCAAAAGTAATTTACAAGATAAATATATTAACCTTTCTCAATTTTCTTCATTTATTATAAGATTAATCAGTAATAAACTATTATCCATTTGAAAATGAAAGAAGATTAGATGTTGTTTGAATAGTTTTTGACAGGAGAAAAATAGAAATCTTCAATTTTCACCGTTTATAAAAATAGTTGAAATCACAACGAATCTTTTATACAGAATTTGTCTAATAAGTTTTCTCAGAATTTTCTGTGGACTTTTTAAAAATTGGAGATTTTAAAGAGATTTGTATGAATTTTTCATGAAAAAAAATCTACTGATAAAGCTCAATAAACTATTAATAAATCTTGGTTTTTGAAACCTTACAACATGAGTCTCACCTTATTTAAAGATCTTTAATTAATGACTCTACTACGCTCTTGTAAATCAAGATGCTATAGTTGCAAATTACGAAATGCTTCAGTTTTAATGAACTTAATGATATACCCTAAGAAAACTTGTCAGAAAAGTTTGGTGTGTATGATTCGTTGCACTTTCATTTCTTATTTTCAATGGTGAAAACCAGAAACCTTGATCTTTTTGTATCGAAAATTATTTCCAAAATACGAACTCTTCTTTGATTTTGAAACAGATAATATCCCAATAATGTTATCTGTCATTTATTCAATGATCCAACTTTCTATTGTTTCTTACTAATTCGGCGTAACCTAGAAAGGAACCGACCATTCGAAATTTGAGCAATTATGTTTTAACCATCTTCGATACAGTTGGATATAGCTTGGCCAGGTTACGCTACAAAAGTTGTTAATATTTTCAAAGAGGCTTCTCCAGAAAAAATTGCAAAACTATGATTATATAGGATGTCCTGAAAGTCATTGAAAAAAAGGAAACATTGGATATCTCCACCATATTTTGACCTAATAAGCTGATACTTTTATCCCTGATAGAGTATTGTTCATAACTCATAGTCAACAGAGAAAGCAGTGACAAAATGTTTTTGAAGTATTATAAGTGACTTCAACAAAGAGCTCTAACCTGGCGCAGTTTATGAAAACACGATAGAGTTCTTTCCATGTCAAAACTAAATGACAAACCACTTTTTTTCGATTATTTCTCTACAAGTGTCATTTGACCTCATATTTGTATCGCAGATACTTGTCTTACTACTCTTTGTGTGCGGAAAATTTCAGCCATAAATTTAATCAATTTATTGAGAAAACTACAATATTGTTTTTTCCATAACCTGTGAAAAATCATAGCTTTTTGGTGGATTCACTTGTAATACTTCAAAACAGTTTTGTATTATCTCATTAAGTCAAAATATGGCAGAGATGCTCAATGTTTTCTTTGTTTTGTGACTCACTCGTTACCCTAAATTTAAAGAAGAATGCGTTCGTATACTTCAACAACACAGTTCTTTTATATTGTTCGGACATGTTTATAATCATACAGAGTTCATTTCTTAGTATATGTTACAACTCATGGAACAAAAATACAAATTCAATAGACAAATAGAGCGCACGTATCAACTATTAAAATTGTTATTATTTTGATCTATTTATGTGGCATTTTTATTAAAACGAATTATTTTGAAAGCTCTAACAATATATTTATAGTTGACCAAAACTTTTGTCGTCATTAAATAAAAATATAATGATAAGAGGATATTTTTAATTTTCTATCATCAAATGTTCACAAGAGTTGTTATAATTATTGATAGCAAGTTAAATCCTTTCTAATAATTTTTTAACATCGTTTTAAATTCTTTTTCGAATAAATTTTTAACTGCCTTGACTTCCATGACTACGAGTGAAGAGATGTGAAATTATTTTATAGACAGATAGGTAGCAAGTCAAGTGATACTAGCTGGATAAGTGAAAATGAATCTGCACAGACTGTTGTTCATAGAGACAAAATTGAAACAAAGCTTTGTTTTATATATACTTGAAACCAAATGGTCATATTTTTGTACATAGTGTGGATGGTAAATTATTTTAAACCTTCTGTTAATGAAATATGGAAACCAATAGAACTATTAGGATCAAAAGTACAAAATTACTTAACGATCATCGTTGACTTTATCTTCAACCAATATTATTAATTGTTTGAGAGAGAACAACATCAATATAATGTCATGTCCATCGTATTTGCTGAACCTAGCGCTACATAATCTTTTCGATTAAATGATTCTATCGATTGTGATTAAATTAATTAAATAAATGCAGTGTGATGTATACAAACGATTTCCAAGATAACTAAATTTTTTTCGAAAAGAAGTTCAAAAAAAAATTGTGATAAATTATTAGAAAAGATTGAACTTACTTTAAATAATCATAAAAACCATCGTGAACATTTGACGAAAGAGACTTAAAAATATCTCGTTATCTTTATATTTTTATTTAAGGCCGATAGAAGTTTCGGTCAGTCATAAGTATCATAAACTTATAAAAGTCAGTGTTTGTGAGTTTTACACTTATATAAATCTTGGATATAATTTCATGAAACTACTTAAATGTGATCTTACTTACATATATATATATATATAGAGAGAGAGAGAGAGAGAGATAACTTTATACATAAATAAATTTTTGCATTTATATTTGTAATATTTGAGACATTTTAATTAATGCATAGCTTTGATCAGGATTTTTTTGCGTCTGTGATTTGAGTTTTTTCTTTGAACGATTTAACACAATCTGTGAATAATAAAGAAAAGCGATTTCCATTTAATCACATGATAAGTTAAAATAGAATTGAAACGCATAAGACATTTGCGTTTCTGGCAAATCTTGATTATTGAGATGATAATTCCACAGATAGACTTTGATTGTACAAGAAATATTATTAGTTACATTGAGCATTTTTCTTGTTCATCTAAACTTGAATTGTTAATAGAATGATATCTTTATTTACGATTCTTCTATTACAGTTGTAATTTTAAGTAAACTACAAGACAATAATTATTTACTTGGTAATGAAAGTCTTAGACAAAGAAAACGATTTTTTTTTTCGTCTCTTTAATCATGAGTTTTCGATTTTCTCGTCCAATAAAGAAATCAAAAGGCTAAGAAATACTTATATTCGGTGAACATAAGTTTAACTGACTATCATTCGAAAAAAAATTTTAAGTCTTTATTAAACTGATCGAATTTGATTTAACCGAGATCCACTCCAGTAGAATAAAAAAAGAAAATAATGTCTGAGAAATAAAAGCGTGTGAATGAAACTGGTCGAGCTTTTTGATTATTATCAGACGAACATCTGATATACTCCTTTTATGCGAGCAACACAATAAATTTTTAACACCCTTAGTCGAGAAGATGATATAATACATTTAAGCATGAAATAGAAATAAAAAGAATGCTCAACAAATATATGGATACTATTTTTCCGGTTAAATTTATTAAACTATATAGCCTTGAAATGCAAGAATAAATAATTATACTATTCAAACTATCTGATGAATGAAAAAACTCAATTTTGTATTGTTTTTTTTTTTTGTTCTCATCATTTGAAAATCGCCTCTGATTATTTGTGATCATTTTATTTTATTTTTGTTGTTCTCTCTTTTTCCTCGAAAGATTGAAAACTGAACTTCAAGATTTATTTTTGTTTTTGAGAATTTCAATGTCAATCATTAGTTGTCAACAAGATAAAGTGATAAGATACCCATTGACTTCTTTTTATGTATCTATCGCCTGAATTCTATTTTAGTTTTGTAAAATCACGAAATACAGATAACGTTATCAATTTGACGAATAGTTTGTAATATTGTGTGTTTCTTTCTGTGATTATGTCTCATAAATGTATAGTACATTTGGACGATATACTTTTTGACTTTATTCAATTTCACATAACGCTTTGACTTAAAAATTTGGATTCATATCTTGAAAAATATTGATTAAACAATAAGTTATTTTAGTTCATTAGTCAATACCCGAAGTAGTTAGTTATTTGCTTAGATTCATCAGAAAAAGATATTTGTTCTTTTTTTTTCTATTACTTGTCTTGTTTTAATCTTGATTTATTGTTTTAATATATCATCATGCGATTCTGCAATCAGTTAATCTTGCTTTCTTTCAACACAATACATAAAGCGTTGTACCTTCTGCTTACATAACCTGTATCATATGAAAGAATCTTTAGTACAATTTTCACTAGACGATAGAAGCAAAGATTTTTAAAAAGTTTTATTAATATGCCTTCAACTGTGCCAACTCGACTTCCTAATGCTGCACAAAAGCTTGATAAAAGTAAACTTTATTTATTTATTCCTAATTTCTTGAATATTCGACGCCATTTTAAAGTTTTCAAAGTAATTGACATTGAAAGGCAAATGTTAATAATACAATTACCCATTGAAAAATCTCTTGTTATTGATACAGTTGATATGAGTGATCGTCTTCGACGAGAAATTGATAGTTTAACAAATAATGGAGATAATATTGAAGCTGGGTGTGGGTATCAATGTGGATACAAAGCTGTGAGTGTATATAAGAGACAATCATCCATCTACACCTACTAATCACATCCCTCATACCCACATCCACATCCTCGCTTACATGCACCACCTGCACTCACACCTGCCCCACACCCTTTTCTTTCAGTAATTTGTTGAATATAAAGCTTGATTTTTTTTGTATTATTTCTTTAGTTTAGCTATCTATTGTGTATAATGTGAGATATTTTCCTAAATAAAATATTTGAAGAACTTTAAATAAAAAAAAATATATATATATTTATCAATGTCTAATTCAATAAATGAATTACAAAAATATTTGGATGAATTTAATGAAACTATATTTTCTATGAATAGTTCATCATTATGTAATCTATTTGAAAAATATGATCGTGTTGTACAAGGTTGGAATGTTATATTAACAAATCCTATTAAAATATGTCAAACATCATTGTATACAATTTATTTAAATGATATTATACAATATCAATATTTAGTTTGTCGTTCATTACTTGATCTTATTAAAGAAAGTAAAAATAAAAATTGGCATATACCAATTCTTATTCTAACATTAACTGGACTTCGTCTTTTAACTAATTATTTTACAATAAATATATCAACTGATATAAATGGACGTACAAGTCCACCAACACAACATATTGCTAAATTATCAATAAATAATGATCGACAAATATCAGAAACACATGTAAATAAAACAATTGAATTACTTACAGAAGCATTTCATGTATTTACAAGTGATCGTTGTACTGAACAACGTTTATCAAAAAATATGGGGAGCTATACAAATACTTAATTAATTGCTTAAATTATGTCATAGAATAAAATATTATAAACTTGGTGAACAATTACTTTCATTTGCTGAACAATCATTAGAATATAGACATTATTTACTAGAAGATCAATAAATGACATATGATTATTTTTTAGGTTAGTAAAGAATAAAATTATCACAACAATTAAAATAAATAGATTTTCTTCAAATATCATCAATTAATTGATTTTTCATTTTTCATAATTCTATAGAAGAATTGAACAGTCTGTAATAGTTTTGAGCGTCCACATTCATTCAATCATATAGTTTATGTTGTAAGATGTAGAATTTAATTTTTATACTGAATTGCGAAAAGATTTAAATTTTTTTTTGAACCCAAAAACACCAATAATGACATAAGCTTATTAGGAAAAAATTGCTCTTCGAACCATCTTTTCTCAAATAGACTGCTGCAGTTGGATGTATGAATAGCTTTCTATTGGCCGTCGTGAAGACTTTATTTGAGAAACACAAGAAATAGTTTGTAGAGTGGAAAATTTTCTAACTAATCATAGAAATTGCCTAAGATTCGGTTAGATTTAGGTTCTGATATTTCCGGCAATAGCTAAGCGTGAAATTCTTCCTTTTATTAATTAACTGAATATACCTGTAATCAAGACCAAAACTGTGTGCATAACGAAGATCGTCATACGTACACTCTGATACATATCATTTCAACTAGAAAACAAAAGTTCGAGTTTTCGTTATTCCTATTTTGCACCATAGATTTTCACTCAATAAATTCATATTGAATCTCTACGTTAAATAATGATGGAACTATATTTCCAAAAAAATGACTCATGTTTATTATTGAGAAAATCTTTTGATCATTATGTGAAAGATAGCTGTTATGCATTTTCTTCTTTTTGACGTATTAGTCACGTTAGTGCTATAAAAATATAGAAAACGATAATTGACAATTGACTTTGTTTTTGAAGATAAATCTAAATCTTGATTTTTAATATTAGGAAAATCTGCCTTATTCAAAGATGATTATCGAAAAGCAATTGAATGTTTTGATCTCATATTTCAACGTTGTCGATAATTTATGAAAAACAATAAAGCATCTATATTAATTCATTTATGTATATCAAAAATGCAATTTGGTTATACACCTTGTTTACAAATTATTTTAAAATATAAATAGAATGCTTTTTATGATTTACTTATTGCTATTAAACTAGATCAATTATATGAATTTGATCAATATATAAAAATAATTCATCATAAATATTTTTTATCCAAAGGTTTATTATTTCATGTTGAAACATTATATTTATTGGCTGTACGAAATCTTTTTCATCAAGTATGATTATTAATGAATAAAGAAAATAAAATATCAATTGAAATATTTACATGTGCATTTGCATGGAGTAATCATAGTCAATTATGTGATCGAATACAATGTGCTACACTATTGGCTACATTAATTTGTCAAAATCGTATGAAAGTTTATATATCTTATAAACATATGACAGTTGTGCTAAGCAAAGAAGATCCATTTCCTAAAATACAACAGATTATTTAGAATATTCTTGTCATAGAAATATTTATATTTTATTTTATTTGGAATACAATAGATGGATAGATCTTTAGGAAAATGTCATTATTTTGATATTGATCAATGATCAATTGAATACAGATACTGTGTATATGTACGTATTGAAATCAGTATTGATTTATTAGCAGATATAAAAGCACTTGGTTCATGTTTTTTTTATTAGATATTATCATTTTACTGTATCTGTGACAAATATTATTTCAACCCTAAGATAAAATGTTGTTCATAATGAATTTCGTATTATTTTTTAAGAACAATAACATTGAAAATTGATATCTGTAATAGAAGTTTATCAACACAAAATAAAAATACTTAATTCTGTGAACAAAATACAAGTTTATAAAATAATAATTCATTATTATCTGCTTTTGATTTTTCATATAGTAGGTAATTGGACGCAAAATTTGAGTCTGCACAAAGAAAATTGACACAATGTACCTAACCAAAATATTCCATGAATCGATTGAACCATACATAATATTTCATACAAATCATCATCGAAATTGAATTGTTTAGACCAAATAAGTAGATAAGCATTCGTATAATTGAGAAAAGCTCTCAAGAATGATTGTACTAATTTATCAGCATTTTTTTAATGCCCAACGACTAATACCAGCTCGATTCAAAACAACAATCCATTTTCCAGTAAATATCCGTTCTATTGTTGATGGTTTACTGAACTACTTATTTTGACATCGTTCACAACAAAAAAAATATTTCTTTGAAATGAATGTTAATTTGAAATTCGAATGCAATTCAAAATTCATTCAATATCCATTGCGAATAGGTTAGATAAGTTCGTCGAATAAAGTTAAATTCACCATGAGAAGACACAAATTGATCTCGATGCAATCCCTTGTTTTCTGATGGATGACGATAATAATAGTAGGTGTTGTTGGATGAAAAGTTTTGTTTTTAATCCATTCAATATATTCTTTATTGAATAGGGGTGACAGAAATTTGTTTCGACCGTAAAAACAGAGTTCTCAGTAGAATTTTGATTTGGAGATAGAGATAATGGTATAGACTGAAGCACACAAGTGCACTACCGTATAATGTAGTGAATGAGTAAAATTCTTGAATTCTGCCGCTACTGATCGTCGAATGAATATTATTGACTGAATCAAACCTTGAATCCATGACAAATGACAAGTTTCTAATAACAACAACAGTAATAAAAATCGAAAATCTTTTTTTTTTTATTACAAAGTTCGCTTTGTCACGATTATTTCTATTTCAATTTCTGTGGAAATGTCGACCGATATCTGAATTGTTCGAACTTTTTGTTAAATGTTAGAAAATTCCCTTCAATTTGTACAGTTAACGGCTCTACTACTTGTTTAGAATTTTGATGATATTTCATCTCACAATTCACATGTTATTCTGCATTGCATGGTCACTTTTTCATTTGATTTGTCTAAACGGTTTTTTTTTTCATTCTATGTATAACAAGAACGGGTTGAAATCTTTCCATTATCTAAATACATTTTATTTCGGCTTATCGAGTCATTTCATTAGGTTTTTTTTGTCAAAGAGAAAAAGTAGAAAGAAAAACTGTTCGAATTAAAAATAATAGAAAAAACAAGCTCTATAAAATTGTATACGTCGTTTTTCAAATAATCTTTTTTTTTTTGTCAACCTTTTATTAAAACGATTCAAACGTTTTCAATCAATCAATTGCGATGGTAAACAAATGCTAGATAATATTTGTTCCGAAAAATGTGATCGAATCGATTGTCGTCCTGTAACCAATGAATTCTGTTTCCCCTTTTTTTGTAATGACTCCTACAACATACGATGATTATGTATCGTGTTATTACATCATCAATCTGTAATTTATCATACAAGTCACGTAAGGTTTGCTTCATTCTCTGAAATATATGGATACCGAGAGAATAACATCCACATACATGGGCTTTAATTATAAATTGAATATAATGTTTTTGATTAAAATTAGATTGAATAGTAGAGTACTTGAATTGATTCTGTATGGAACAAACAAAGCGTCAACGAAACAATAGCATTGATCATGATGACGACAGCAAAAGAAGAAAATTTCAAAGTAACATCAATAGGTTTGTCATATTGATATATATATATATATATATATATATATTTTAGTTAACAGATTTTTCCGTCTTTGTTTTAGATCATCAAGCAAATCTCTCACTCGTTTTGAAGACATGTCCAATGAAGTTATCTATGAAATATTTGAATTTCTCGATTTTTTTCATAGATACGATGCTTTCTTAAATCTTAATCGACGATTTGAAAATCTTCTTATTCATTCGTCTCTTCCTATTCAAATAAATTTGTCATTAATGTCTAAATCAACTTTTCAAGAGTACTATAAATTTATTCTTCTTTCTGATAAATATCGAATTAAATCATTACGTTTATCGAATCCATTCGCATTTGATTCTATTTTATCATCAACAAATATTCAATTAAAATTTATTCAACTTGAAACACTTATTCTCAATAATATCGATTCAAAATCTCTCGAAAATCTTCTCAATCATTTAACTTTTTTGTCTAGTCTTGCATCATTATCGATTATTTGTATGGATAAAGTTGACCATCTGAATGATTTCTATCTTCAAATCTTTCGTTTACC